CCCTGAATCATGATTCATGCCACCAATGAAAGTTCCTATCTACCAATGAATCTAAGTTAATCAAAGATATATACAAATTTACACAAAGACACTTGTAAATTTTTAGTAATGACCAAGGGCTTCATTTGGGTATAAATCTAGCTTTTCCCTCCCAATATAGTGGAATGAAGTTGTTCTGTTATTTTTAGTGTGTCAAAGTCTCATTGGTGACTCTGAATACGTCTTACCCAGCCACCAAGCACCAAGTCTCAGGCAGGTACTCCATTAGTACCCTCTGACCAAAGAACAAAAGCTGCTCACAGGTATATACAATTTCTGCAGATAATTTCAAACAACACCATATTAAAAAAAGAACCATTATGGAGAAGAGTCAAACCATCCATGTTTGATCTATCTCATGTATTATTAAATTAAATTAAAAAATAATAAAATGACTTTAACAGAATAATTCCAATAGTCAACAAATATTTAAGGTGACACTTCTGAGTCTTGAAGGATGTTTTTACTAAAAGACGTAAGACATCTTTCCTTGGTGAGCATCCTCCACAGAAGGGGAGAAAGACCCCACACACCACAGAGACATAAAAAGGGAGGTTGGTGTTCACCTGAGTCCCCCCCCCCCCCAGTCATATGTCATTAGTGTCATTCAACCCCAAACTCATAATATGGTGTCCCGTCCCTCATAACTGAATTTTTCTAACATGGTTACTGTTAAAATTCAGTAAGACTAGAGTTGACATTTTAGATTTGCTGTTATTGAAACAAAAATTTGAATACCTATAAAAGGCTATGCCATTTCATTAAAAAATGGAACTCTAAACTTTTATCCTAAATGACAAGTTTTAACTGTTTCATTTATTTGTATGGTAGTACAAAATTCTTGAAACAGGTGGACTCACGAAGTGGGGATTGATGCCTAACTCAAACTAGCAAATAATACAAAATCTTAGTAGGTGTCTTGTGTTCTCAACAGAACATACATAAGTCCTGAATATTTTCCATGTCTATTCTTAGAAAATGACTCTCAAATGAAAAATCAGATTTCTGTGGAAATAGCTGCTCTGCATGATGAATCCCATAAGTACCCAGTAACTTTCCACTATCGTCACACTGGTTCCTAAACAAGGGATTAAGACACATTTGAAGAATCAAGATTGTCAGGACAGCCTAGAAAACCAAAGAGCCATCATAGAATTATCCCTTGCTTGCTCTTTATCAAGCAAGTTTGGAAGTTTGTTTGCTTTGGTTTAACAGCTATTGTCTCCAACCTTCTGCAGGCAGGGTTAAAAGCAATAAGAATAGATAGGCATAATGGTAACCCATGGGTAGTTTCAATGGAATCTCCCTGTTGTACTTGTCCATTCTGTTCCTGTTCCTCCAGTTAGCTCCCATGGACTAGCACAGGTATCATGTCTCTAGACTAAACAAACAGGGAACAAAAACAAACAGGGCTCAGTCACAGACAGGATGCAAGGAAATTGTCATGTAACTCACGGAGGGTAGGGATGCATTCAATGTGGGGCAGCTACTGAGTATCTGCTAAGTGGTTGCAGTTAGCTGATCCAGAGCCTAAAGACAGACAAATCTGATCTCATGGACTGCTGTAATGATGATGGTGTGTGAACAATCGCAGAGGGAGAAATGAGCTGGAATGAGGCAGTCCAGAGGTTTCACAGAGAAGGTCACATAAGAGCTGAGCCTTGGGGCTTGATGAAAACCGGCTTCTTATGAGACAGACAATGAGTGGAAGCAAAATTGAGAAGATGAAAAAGCATGGGCCACGCCCAAGATAGGAAACAGTAGCCATGTGTTGGGAAGACCTTGGATTCCAGCCAATGAAGAGAAAAGGAAGGAATGGGAAGACAGGAGTAAGTGACACAGTGGAAAGGTCTTAGCAGTGCTACTCAACTGGGAAAAGTCACATGCAAGCTCCAAACAAGCCACATAAGAGCTCCCAGGTTCCAAGAAAACCATGGTTCTGTCCCATGCTCCTGTATACTTGAGCAAAAAGTGACCCTGTGAGCCCAGGGCACATGCCAATGAGAAACAGTAACTGTTGTCAACCTACTTGAATGCAGGAGAAGCCTCTGCCCAAATTCAATGCATATCCAGTGAGTGACTCCCAACTGTGGCCATTAGAGAATCTAGTTAACCTTTGAAAATTACTCAAGAAGTTAATTGTCCCTACCTTTCCTTAGAATGATTGTAGTAACAGGGGTGCCAGAGCCACTTGATTGCAGGCTGAGGGATTCCATACACAGTGCAAGTGAGGGCTTGTCTGCTGCCCAGTGGGTAGAGAGCCGGGCTTGCAAAGGACGACACAGACTTTTCATAGATCTGAGGTTTCGCTGGAGAGGAGGAGAAACAGAGAGAAGTCAGGGGCAGAGGCAAGGATTTCCTCCAGGGTCTCACATGAGAGACCAGTCACATTGGTTTTGATGTCAGGGAAACATCACCACAAATAAATACTCATATTATGTAGGAAAATGCCTATTTGATTCTATGGTATGAATACCGTGATGGTGGTAAGTAAAGCCACCTTGCCTGCAGGAGGTAAGAAAACAATAAGTAATAGCTGGGCATGGTGGAACACACTTTTAATCCCAGCACACAGGAGGCAGGGCCAGCCTGGTCTACAGAGCGAGTTCCAGGACAGCCAGGGCTCCACAGACAGACCCTATCTCAAAAAAACAACCAACCAACCAAACAAACAGAAAAGATGAAGTAGTCATGATGCAGGCAGAAGTGTGACATTTTTTTCTTTTGTTTCTCTCTGGCACTGGGGCTGGAGCCCAGGGCTTTGTTCTTACCAGACAAGAACTCTACTGTTGAGCTTCATCCCAACCATTAGAAATGGAATATAAAGATGTATGTGGGACTGGAGAGATAGCTCAGCAGTTAAGAGCACTGGCTGCTCTTGCAGAGAACCCAGGTTCGATTCCCAGCACCTCGGTGGCTCACAACTATTTGCAATTGCAGAAAAAGATTTTACATCTTTTTCTGACTTTCTCAGATACCAGGTATGCATGTGGTATACATACTTGCATACACCAGTGCAGGAAAAACACTCATAGAACAAAAGAAAATACTCAAAACCAAATATTTTTAAAGTTTGTTTTCTTTGACAGTTTATACTGACTTTTGAACTCACAAATTGTCAATAATAGCTGTAGAACCCAAAGATCACACAAAATTAAACTTACCATTTACAATCAGAGTGGCAGTGAGGTTTTTAAATAGGTTTGACTGCTTTATGCCCAGCAAGATTGTATAGTCCCCTGCGTCCTCAGTAGTTACATCTTTGATAACTAATGAATAGCCATGCACCGAATAACGAGCAGACTTCTCCGTTGCAGGTGAGCCATCTTTTAACCTGTGGTTAACAGCATGGTGAGTAAGTCACTTCATTTGCTTCATGGTGTCACTTTGATGGCATTTGCCATTTCAGTTTGTAACCTCAAGGGGAATCTTTGGACATCAGCACTGTTTGTTTGTTTATTTATTTATTTATTTATTTATTTATTTATTTTACTCTTTAAGCTTTAGGCACTTAACTGTTCAGTAAAATCAGGTGAGGGACTTAGACTGGGTGGCATTTCATCTTTATCCACAAGGAGGAAGGAAAAAAATATGAAGAAAAGAAAGTGGTAGCTTGGGCTGGAGAGATGGCTCAGAGGTTAAGAGCACCGGCTGCTCTTCCAGAGGTCCTGAGTTCAATTCCCAGCAACCACATGGTGACTCACAACCATCTGTTAGGAGATCTGGTACCCTCTTCTGGTGTGCAGATATACATTATATACATAATGAATAAAATCTTAAAAAAAAAGTGGTGGTTTTATAAACACACAAGGTACCTAAGAACCAAGTCAGAGGTTCTGTACTGGGTCTGTCAAGCTGTCTGTCAAGTTTTTCCTTTAAGGCTCCATGAGAAGTCCCAGAACAACTCTTACATATCAGATCAACTAGACCTGATAAAAATTAAAAATAGACGCTCCTATTGTGGGCTCATGTGGAGTTCTTATTAATTACATAAATGGTCATACCAATTGTCCCTTTCATAGAGAAACTGTAGTGAAATCAAAATAATCCCCCTCAAGGAAGAACAATGAAAGGCACCAGGCAACAGGAATTTAAAAATGTTTTTAATGTAAAATCAATGCCTTGATGTCATCTGTTTGTACTGAGAGTCAGGTGACCTAGCTCTGCCCTATCTTCCTGCTGCCACCTGTATAACAGATAGACCAACTTGAACTACAGTGTCCCTCAAAACTTCTAGAAGTTCTCAAGACCCCTTTGAACTCAGCTAGTCTATGTCTTACTTTCATATTTTGTTATTTTTTAAAGATTTACTTTTATTTGATATTTAAGTGTTTGCTTGTACGCATGTATGTATGTGCACCATGTGTGTGCAGTACCCGCAAAGGTGAGAAGAGGGCGCTGGACCCCTTGAACTGAGTTACAGATGATTGTGAGCTTCCATGTGGGTGCTGGAAATGGATCCAGGTCCTCTACAAGAACAGCCAGTGCTCTTAACCCCTGAGCCATCTCTCCAGCCCATGATTTTAAATGCACAGTTCTTTCAATAGGCCCTTTCATTTGTAGGCCATGTACTGTGTTACAGAAAGGTAAAATGGCTCTTAGGCTGGCAGACCAGGGGACAAACTCTCCAGGTATCAGCTCCAATACAGTTAATATGGCTATGCTGTATTTTGTGATTACAAATAGCATTTTAGTATTGTTTCAATTGTATTCTATTTTTCTTTTAAGTTTTTTAAATTTCATATGGCATTGCTAACCACAGTTCTCCCTCCCACCCCTCTATCACTTCTCACCTCCCCCCACCAGCCCATCACCTATCCACTCCTCTCACAGGGTAGTGGCTCCATAGTAGGTGGTCCACAAAGCCTGGTCCATTAAGCTGGGGCATAACCAAGCTCCTGCCCCCTGCATTAAGGCTGACCATGGCATCCTACCATAGGGAATGGGCTCCAACAAGCTAGAAAAATAGGGAACACTTCACAAATTTGTGTGTCATTCTTGCATAGGGGCATGCTAATCTTCTCTGTATCATTCCAATTTTAGTGTATGTGCTGCTGAAGCGAGTACCAGTTGCATCTTATGAATAAGGCATCATTTTAAAAGTAGATACTTTGTTTTATTTGTTCCTTGCTATTTAGTGACTGAATAAATCAGTATGAATAGACAAAGGGTGTGTTTAGACATGAAAGTGTGAGTATGCTTCGTGGTCATTAAATTACCGTGAACTGTTCTTTTAAATTTAATAATTTTTCTCTTCTTAAACCATACTTTATATGTCTAGCAAGAAAATTATAATGTTCTATTAACTTTTTAGACATTGTAAAATAAAAATATCCATTTATTTCCCACTGCAATGCTGCAAAGGTGCAGTATACAGTTTTGACTTGTTATTTAACTTCCTATTAAATATTTGAGTTAGATGCAAACAAACACTGAAGGACTGAGGGCCAGACAAGCTCTGGTGAGGATTTTCCAAATGGCAGGGCTTCTGTATTGTATGGATTGTTTTTCTAATCAACTGTGAATAGACCTGCTGTTTAAAATGTAGTAATTTAAGCCAAAGATAACGACATTAAAAAGTAATTTAGCAAAATGACTGCAGAGTCTAAACAGATTGCATTGTTTTACATAGGTGCTGTACTGGTCTGACTTTTTAAAGAAAAAAAAATGTGTAAGGTATTTCTGAATACTTCAAGCCAAAGAAAACCTTCATCAATTCAAGTTGGTCCACTTGTCTACACCTACCAACGAGTAAGTCCCACCACCATTAATGTTTGTTAAAATTTTAATACAAGGCTGAGACTTTCAACCCAGTTGCACATAAAGGAATTATTTTTAGCATCCTCATTACAAGGGCTCTCTTCTTCAGGGTTAATAGAGCATGCCACACACTCAAGATTCCTCTGAGTTATTGCCCAACACATCTCATTCAGAGAATGTTGGCATCACATGAAGGTTTGGAGATGTGGGGATTTACTATGTGTGAGGGACTCCTGAGCTGAATGGAGCACTCAAACCCTCACCTCTTGCTTTACCTCTGGGCACCACTTCCAGGCCCATCCTGCCCTCCCCAGTGTCACCACCCGGAAATCAACACAGTGTCCAGCTCCCCAGAGTTTCTCCAAGCAACTTCTCTTGGTGTCTCTTTCAGGACTGTGAGCCACTGAAGTTCCTAAGTTCCTACTTATAAAAAGTATCTCAACTGACATGGAAATGATTTCGGTCCTACCATACAACTTCTGGCGAGGGGAAGGCCTTCACTTTCATGGACAGCCGATAGGACCGCTTTCCCACTATGGTCTCTTGTACCTGCTGCTTCCGATGCTTCACACTGATGAATCCCTTTCCTTTGAAAGAAGAAATGAAGGCATCAGGAAGGGATGCACTTATGTAAACATAAGCTCACTCCTTCCTTTAGTGGAGATTCGGTCAATGAATGAATCATGGTGGAGCCTGTTAAAGGGCCCAAGTGTCAATCAGTGATGCCTTCAGGTCAACTGTCAGCAAGTCCTAGAGATGCAAAGCAGTGTATAGGCAACTGGAGCATCACTATAAACTGGTCACAATAACCAGTTTAGATTTCTAAAATCTACTCAGTTGATACAGCAAAGATGGAGAAAGTTGCTCTGGGCTGAAAAGTCAAGCTGAGAAAGCTGTAGGGATAGAAAGTGCCTCTGTAACCCAATTACAAAAAGACAAACATGGTATTTACTCACTCATATGCAGATTTTAGACATAGAGTAAAGGATTACCAGCCTACAATCCACACTGCCAGAGAAGCTAGGAAACAAGGAGGACCCTAAGAGACATACATGGTCCCCTGGAGAAGGGGAAAGGGTCAAGATTCC